CATGTATGTATTCCACAAAGTTCTTTTAAATAATTGTTCTCAAGGAACTGTTCCCCAATAGGCAAGTATGATATATGTATGGTTTGTCCGGCTAGTTTAAAGTAAGGTCAACGCCTATGGAGATTTAACATAAGTGTCGGCCATTGCATGGAATTTCAAAACAAGTGAAGCTTAAATCCGGCAAAGTTAGTTTCAGCATTCACATTCTAAAGTAAAGTCAACCTTTGGTTTTAAACGGTAGCTTTCCTTGATTAAAAAAGTCTGATTTAAGACGAAGTTTGACCAGATGCACTTTGTATATCGCCACACAGACTTGAAATTGAAAAAAGGCAAATACCAGGGTCGATATCCCCATGATAAGTGTAATGCTGAATACTGTTAGAGATGAACTGCATTTCGTTTAGCACGTGCTTTTAAAGTTAGCTTCACTACTTATGACAACCATTGAAAAGATAGTATCAATTTCTTAAACATCATTCACGATAACTTGTTTTTATTATGACCAATACCGATCCAGATAGTTAAATACTAAGAGAAGTTAATTTACAAGAATAAGCACAATTGGTGATTGATACTACTGTGACGTAATGTACAACTTCAGTCCTCGTGAGGGTATATTGTATGCAAAGGTAATGCATACCGGTCTGAATTAGCATGGGTAACTCTCTTGAACCATAGTCATCGCCCCATTTTCTAGCTGCATCTAAGTTTTGTTTTGTGTCTTTGTTATTGATTTTTGGCTTTCCTTCATGTTCCGATCTTCAGTCCGCTGAACACGCTAACATTGACACTTAGTCCGAGTTTCCTTATACATTATATTGGGTAGGTAATGAACCGTTCGTGTACATTATATAACAAGCTTTCCTTATACGTTATATTGGGTAGGTAATGAACCGTTCGTGTATATTATATAACACGGTCTGTTGGAGGATACGCCATTTTACATTCTTCACACACAGATCTACATCATGGGGCATCGCTGTAATTTTCAAGGCGACATTAACTCTGCAGAAAGAATCACCCACAAATGAAGAAAACCGCATATGCTGCTGATAACACGTGTCAGAATGTCTGTAACGTATCAGCCCACTCAGTGGAAGAATGTTTTTCGCAAGCGCATTGCCTTTGAAGAATGACCCTAGACTACTAGTATCAGGATATGACTCCGAGGTACTGGTTCATTTCTGTGCAGGATCTGATCAACGATATAACATCGTCTCCCATTCTCCAATCAGCAAACGGCATATAACTGGCCATGATCTGATTGCGCCCTTGTACAACACAACCTATCGACTTTCATTGACAAGCACCATATACATATCAGAGGTTGTGGCGTAGATACGCAACTACCGTCTGCTTTAATAGGAGGAACGTGGGGTAGACGGCGAAAAGCCGAACTCGCTATCCACCACCAGATTATTCTTGCAGTACAAAAACTGTGACAAATCATCACAGACAAAAACTGTGACAAATCATCACAGACAAAAACTGTGACAAATCATCACAGACAAAAACTGTTCTATTACTGTAATTGAGATAGTTTCACAGCTCGACTGAAAGTGTCTAAGTTCCTACCTCTCTCCGGACATTCGGATCGTAGCTGTTTTTAAGAAATTATTAAAAACATCTGCTTTTAAACTTGTAGTTTTCTGTTATGAACGAACACCAAGTTTGGTCAAACAAATGATCATGTAGTTATTCATATTGAAGGTCACACGCGTCAAGTGTTAAAATCTTCAAAGGTATTCTTCTTATTAACCAGAAGGTCTATTGTGATGATGCTATATTTGGCCTGTAGCTTGTTAGGGAGAAAGCCTCATGGAAACAAATGTAAAAACGTGTTAAAATCGTCAAAGGATTTCCTTTTTTTCTGAGAATTTCCGGAAAGGTGATTCTTAATTAGATTTGGACAATTAAAAAAAGAATTACCAGAAAAAAACACAAGTTGGATTCAATCACATCAATAGTTTATTTATACATACATGTATACTTAATTTAAATGAACAAACTGAGTAAAGACAAAAAAATCTCCAACTGAGCAAAAACTTTGTTGTAATTTTCAACATATTTTGGTCAACAATTTTCCATATAGATGCAAATAATGATTTATGGTATAAATGCATTGAATGCTATAAAATGTATAAATTGCCTGTTAGGAAAAACAATTAATAAAAAGTAAAACAAGACAAAATAATGTGAGCGATCCACAGCTCCAGACAAACTTTGTTGTCAATAATTAGCAAAGGGCCGTAACTCTGTATATTATATATCTATAATGACTATAATGAGATGGGGTGGTTTGTATATGGTTTATTAAGAATCACATGACCTATAAGTATGGGACTTTTTTAACTTGTAGTAATTGGAATCACATGCCATATGGATAGTTTGTTTAGTCTATGTAGAATCACATGCCATGTATATATGTGATAGATCGTTTTTCCATGTCTTATGTAGAATCACAAGACACAAGAAAGGGATGATTTGTAAATATCTTATATATAATCATGACCATATGACATACAAATGAGGGATGGTATTAACTTGTCTTGTGTAGAATCTTAACAAGCAGGTGGTCTCTAAGGCAGTTACAGATACACGTTTAGGAAACCATTGGGTCTTGGCTCGTATTACTGTGAAAATGCACTTGTAAAAAGGCAGAGCCGACTTCTCCGTATGTTCGGTGAGCAGCTCAACTCGCCGAAAGTGATGAGCTGTCGTGCGTGACAATATCAAATGTAGTCTACACTTGGTCAAGCCGCTATACGGACATATTTTGCGTACTGTTGGTCTGTTTGTAGACTACACTTGCCATTGCAGACTAACCTTATAATTAACATTCATATAACTTGTAGCTTCTAACTACAATATAATTAGTACAAACTACAGTACTCACAATGTATTTTTTCATGAAGTAGATGTTGCATACACATTGTAAGTCCACCCAAAACATTAAAAAAATATCTGAAAATAAAAACAGTAATACAATTTTCCATCACACTGAATTCCTCCAAATTGATCATTTTAAACTATTGAGAAGCGATCAGTCAGTTTAGTGTTTCTACCTCACTATAAACAGCCACTTTGGACTCCGAATGGAGATTGTTGGATTCATTTATTTCAATTCAGCTGTACCAGAACAGAGATCTTTGTTTTACAGTAAATCTTCTAGCTCAGATTAAGAGACCAGATATTGCAGTATTGATGATTTAACAAGGAATAAAGGACACCGCTCTTAACAAACTCCTACAATGTTATAGTAATATAGACTACAGTGTATTATAATGTATCTCCTCAAAATCTACCACATGAAGAAAAATACTGCAAAGGTAGAAATTCTAGCACGTGAAAATGTTTGTATAGGAACTCTTCAAATGAGGCAATGGTTCCCCGATGTCTTTAATCTATAGATCTATCTACATGTACTGTATATCATATGTGAATAAATTTGCACTGATTTATATCTCAATCAGAAAAACATCGGCATCTCCACACTAAAATATTTTCCATTTTGACAGAAGTTTTACAAAAGATTGATACAAACGACATTTCTTCATGATGGCAAGCTTGAACTGGTGATCTATCAATTATTTTTTTAAGATGCTTAAATAACTTAATAGTTATGTAAACAAAAATGACATGTATAAAATAAACTGAACAATTTCAATTTTTAATGTAAATTAAGTGACTTCTTTACTGGATACACGGATACAGAACTGTTTTATAGAAATAGAGTTAGACTCTTATAGACCCATGCATATTACATAACATTATATTGCACATAAAACTGTAGAGACAGACTTACAGGAATACATTTGGTAAAATTACAATCGTTTACATTGGATCAATATTAATTTCAAGTCCCAATATATTTTTTTATCAGAGTCAAGGACTGAACATACATCATGTAAGAAACGTTATTACCCCAGTCATTATTTACGGAGATCAGGGCCAGTATTCATGAAACCGTTCTCATGCTCAAGCATGGATTTTGTGCTCAAGTCTAATTTCTTGTTCTTGTTGTAACTTAATAAATCTTGTTTTGTCAATGCTTTGGAAACAGTTTGAAGAGACTTGAAGCCAAATACTGTTTACTGCTAACTACTGTTTCAATGTTTACATTTGACTTTTTGATTGTTTTACATGATTTAAGCTAATAACAAGAAAGTTGGCTTGAGCACAGAATCCATGCTTGAGCATGAGAACGGTTTCATGAATACGGGCCATGGTATCAAAAACACAATGAAGATCTGGTATCAAAAACACAACAGAGATCTGGTATCAAAAACACAACGAAGATCTAGTATCAAAAACACTCACTCACAAAAACGGTATAAACTGTTTAGTATCAAAGCAAACACTGAACCTACTCTAGACTATCTTTCCAAATAAATAATTGTCAAATCTCACTACCACACACTAACACCCAATAGGTGCATCCATTGATCCCTGGTTTGGCAACTACATGTACATCATTTTCTAAATCTTGACTAGGGAGAGTATAAAACAAGTGTGACATAATTTTGTAGTGTTGTGTGATGTCATTACATTGACTTTTTGTAGTGTTGTGTGATGTCATTACATTGACATTTTGAAGTGTTGTGTGATGTCATTACATTGACCTTTTGTTGTGTTGTGTGATGACATTACATTGACATTTTGAAGTGTTGTGTGATGTCATTACATTGACCTTTTGAAGTGTTGTGTGATGTCATTACATTGACCTTTTGAAGTGTTGTGTGATGTCATTCCATTGACTTTTTGAAGTGTTGTGTGATGTCATTACATTGACTTTTTGAAGTGCTGTGTGATGTCATTACATTGACTTTTTGAAGTGTTGTGATGTCATTACATTGACCTTTTGAAGTGTTGTGTGATGTCATTACATTGACTTTTTGAAGTGTTGTGATGTCATTACATTGACCTTTTGAAGTGTTGTGTGATGTCATTACATTGACTTTTTGTAGTGTTGTGTGATGTCATTACATTGACTTTTTGAAGTGTTGTGTGATGTCATTACATTGACTTTTTGAAGTGTTGTGTGATGTCATTATATTGACTTTTTGAAGTGTTGTGTAATGTCATTACATTGACTTTAAGAATATTGATGTGTTTACTACCAAAACACTTCGGGCATTTCACATCACCTCACACAAATAACAATTGTAAAATGAACTTGCCATGAAGCTTTTCCAAACCCCTTTATTTTTAAAGTATACCTCTGGTATACTATGTTTTCCACTTCACTCCAAATAGGTTCCTGGTTATGTATACCTTGTATGGTATCTTGAAACTATACTACATTATTGTTACCTTCGTGATGTCATTGTGAGTTTTTACTAAATTCACAGGTAAATGGTGCAAGAAAAAGTATTGATCACTATGTAGGTATGCAGGATAAGGCAATGTTACCCATGAATGTAGATTTTGGATGCAGAATCTCAGCAAAGCCTTGGTTCTGACTCTATATTTACATGTGAAATTTCTCTTATCCTATAAAATCTACATAATGACTGACTTTATTAATGTTACAAAGCAACAAATTCATACAACTATAACTACATACGTGTAGTAAGGCTTACTGATGTACAATATTTCCAATGAAAAACTACATTTTTGTGGGAAAAAAATATTCTAATATACAAAAATAAGGAAATAAAAATAATGAACAGTTAATATCTTTTAGGTGAGCCAATAAATATGTATATTACCAATAACTATACCACAGTTACACTCTGTCATAGCCAACTTGTGTGATATGTAGTTGTATCAGTTATGACTCTTTCTTGGCCTCACTCTGTACTGTTTCCTTGTCCATTTGACTATTTGAATCTGAGGTCTCAGCACCTGTCACTGGGGCAGTTTTTGTGTCTACCCTGTAGGTCAGGAGCAGGCCGTTCATTGGAAGAAGGAGCAGAGGAAGGTACATCAATGTCCAACCAAGGATCTCGTCACTCCCCAGGATTTTAGATGTGTACTGCATATAGCCTTTAGCTACATAGACCAGAACAACAGTCTGACAACAACAAAAAAAGGGTGTTACATGGACGTAGAAAAACAACACATACATGTACCACTTTCAGTGTTATAGACAATCCACCTCAAATGGTATGCACCCTCCAATAAAACTCATCTTTTCAGTATGATAAATCACTCAATTTGAACATTGAACTGTTATTTCTAACTAGTCCTATTTGTGGCCAACATATACATGTAGGTATCTGAGATATGTGATGTGCACTGGAAATAGTGACACATGGAGAACAAAGGGTCATAACTCTGTATACAGTGGAAAAACCAGACCTGATGTGAGTATACGACACTATACTCATACCAAAATATGAGACATGTATCGGACAACGTGATAGAATAACTGACTGATGGATGGATGTAACTGTTTTCTCCTCTAGAACTGGTAGTACATCCGTCTCCCAAACATGACAATGGTTCCATTCATGTAATACAGTCACACGGTCATGGGAAGAAAGTTGTAAGGTTGTTTCACTTATTCCTTTTAAATGATTTATTGGTTTAGTCATATCATCTAAGAAAATGATTTGTTTCCACCATGATACAATTTTTGATTTGTGGACAGCATGATGGTATCCAGTATTCCTTGTTTTACAGGCAGCATATCCCTCAGAGACACATGCCTGGTTCTGTTAAATCCCTCAGCGACACATGCCTGGTTCTGTTAAATCCCTCAGCGACACATGCATGGTTCTGTTAAATCCCTCAGCGACACATGCCTGGTTCTGTTAAATCCCTCAGCGACACATGCCTGGTTCTGTTAAATCCCTCAGCGACACATGCCTGGTTCTGTTAAATCCCTCAGCGACACATGCCTGGTTCTGTTAAATCCCTCAGCGACACATGCCTGGTTCTGTTAAATCCCTCAGCGACACATGCCTGGTTCTGTTAAATCCCTCAGCGACACATGCCTGGTTCTGTTAAATCCCTCAGCGACACATGCCTGGTTCTGTTAAATCCCTCAGCGACACATGCCTGGTTCTGTTAAATCCCTCAGCGACACATGCCTGGTTCTGTTAAATCCCTCAGCGACACATGCCTGGTTCTGTTAAATCCCTCAGCGACACATGCCTGGTTCTGTTAAATCCCTCAGCGACACATGCCTGGTTCTGTTAAATCCCTCAGCGACACATGCCTGGTTCTGTTAAATCCCTCAGCGACACATGCCTGGTTCTGTTAAATCCCTCAGCGACACATGCCTGGTTCTGTTAAATCCCTCAGCGACACATGCCTGGTTCTGTTAAATCCCTCAGCGACACATGCCTGGTTCTGTTAAATCCCTCAGCGACACATGCCTGGTTCTGTTAAATCCCTCAGCGACACATGCCTGGTTCTGTTAAATCCCTCAGCGACACATGCCTGGTTCTGTTAAATCCCTCAGCGACACATGCCTGGTTCTGTTAAATCCCTCAGCGACACATGCCTGGTTCTGTTAAATCCCTCAGCGACACATGCCTGGTTCTGTTAAATCCCTCAGCGACACATGCCTGGTTCTGTTAAATCCCTCAGCGACACATGCCTGGTTCTGTTAAATCCCTCAGCGACACATGCCTGGTTCTGTTAAATCCCTCAGCGACACATGCCTGGTTCTGTTAAATCCCTCAGCGACACATGCCTGGTTCTGTTAAATCCCTCAGCGACACATGCCTGGTTCTGTTAAATCCCTCAGCGACACATGCCTGGTTCTGTTAAATCCCTCAGCGACACATGCCTGGTTCTGTTAAATCCCTCAGCGACACATGCCTGGTTCTGTTAAATCCCTCAGCGACACATGCCTGGTTCTGTTAAATCCCTCAGCGACACATGCCTGGTTCTGTTAAATCCCTCAGCGACACATGCCTGGTTCTGTTAAATCCCTCAGCGACACATGCCTGGTTCTGTTAAATCCCTCAGCGACACATGCCTGGTTCTGTTAAATCCCTCAGCGACACATGCCTGGTTCTGTTAAATCCCTCAGCGACACATGCCTGGTTCTGTTAAATCCCTCAGCGACACATGCCTGGTTCTGTTAAATCCCTCAGCGACACATGCCTGGTTCTGTTAAATCCCTCAGCGACACATGCCTGGTTCTGTTAAATCCCTCAGCGACACATGCCTGGTTCTGTTAAATCCCTCAGCGACACATGCCTGGTTCTGTTAAATCCCTCAGCGACACATGCCTGGTTCTGTTAAATCCCTCAGCGACACATGCCTGGTTCTGTTAAATCCCTCAGCGACACATGCATGGTTCTGTTAAATCCCTCAGCGACACATGCATGGTTCTGTTAAATCCCTCAGCGACACATGCATGGTTCTGTTAAATCCCTCAGCAACAAATGCATGGTTCTGTTAAATCCAGTACACTTTAAGGTACAGGTGATTGATAGCCAAAGAAAAATTTTCAGATATATACCTGTCTAGATCATAATGATGGAAAGAAAACTAGACTAGATACCAATGGATTATAAGCGATAGATTATTTTCACAATAAAATTTGCTATCACATATTTCAGTCTTTATCAAGTGATTGGCCTGAATACTTACCAAGAGCTGCCCACTGAAGACTGCCCTAACATCTCGTTTGTGGACAAACCTTGGCACAAACCACATGAGAATGCTAAAGGTCATGACCAGAGCTCCGACAGCTTTGGCCGTGTGTAGGTGGTACTTGTCTAGCTTTCTTCCCTGTACAAAATATGAAGTAATCCATACATCAGCACAGTCACAAACATTACTTAAGTCAACGTCATTGAGTAAAAAATCATTTTTCAAAATTTTGAATATTAAAGAATCACATTTACATGTATAAATATTCCATAAAGACAAAGTATAATATAACAATCCAATAAAATTGTATAATGCCTTAAGTTTACTGTTACATATATGTTCATGTAGTTGTGTCAGTAATATAAAAAAATCAAAATCATTATTTAAAATTTGAAATATTAAAGAAATGGTATAAATTTTCCATAAAGATAAAGTACAACATAAATATCCAATAAAATTTGATAATGCCTTAAATTAAATTACATTTATGTTCATGTCGTTGTGTCAGTATACAAAAATGTACAACATTTGTAACTCTGCCAAACACTGACACTTTGAAGCCAAATAGTGGATCTTACTCAGCATAATGCTGACATACCTTAACACCTGTTGTCATGAGTGGGAATGCCATTAAAGCCAGTGACACAAGTGTCAGCATCAACAGGTTGAGGTTACACACTAGAGTTATTCCCCTTGATTGTACATTGGGTCCCTCACGGACTTTGGGTCGAGACTTCAGCAACTGTACAGCATTGGCAAGCCACCACAATGAGTTACCAAGCACACCAAACCATAGATGCTATAATACAAATTATCAATACAATACATTGCAAATCTTTTGATTTTCAAGGCTATGTATTTTTTAGATTGTGGTTAAAACAAACCTGTAAATTGGTAATCATTGTATTATTTAACATAATCTGTTTACATGAAAAGAACAATATACTCTTTACCAGATATATATCCATGTGTAACAAATTATTTGAATTAGCAATCGGCTTTCCTATAGTGTCGTGTAATGAATATGTTTCCTTTCCTACTATAAGCTGCTGTTTATGATAAAAACCTAAGGCCGAAAATCAAAGGAGAGTGTGGAAATATTATGCAATCTTATCTGCTAGATATTTAGTTATACATGCATATTTTATAAATTTAATTAATATACATCATTCCCTTGAAATCAATTAAAATTAATTGTTATAATTTCACATTCCGAAACTTTTATCATGGTCATTTGAAGACAATCTATATAATGTTACTGAACAAAATTGAAAAAGAATTTTCACCCACCTTGTCTGTAAAAAGTTTCCTATTTGCAAAATGCCCAGAAATAATTATGGAAAGAAGGCAGAATATTCCCTGTAAAATAACATTGACAAGAATAATTGTAAAATGCTATTTCAATTAACTGAAGGAATTATGATAAAGATACAGAAAAATGTGAAAACCATATTTGCACAATGATAGTTAAAAGTAGTTTTTCTTTGAAAATAGTGATTGATTTTGGATAAAGGAATTGTCTATAAGTCAACTTAATATCAATTACACTGTTATACTATACACTTCTTGTAAGAATTTGTATTATAAAATTATTACATGCTAACATCCCAATACAATCTTATATTGTAACTTGTTTATAGCAGAAAAGATACTGGTACATTGTAGTAGGTATTAGGTACCATAACTCTGGACCATAACAGGGCTGCCACGACAGTGCTGTCTTTGGACAACCGACAGAAGTACCATACTACAGCCGAACCAATCAGAAATGACCCAAACACTCGGTTGAGGTGACAGTGGAGGATATCAAGCTTCAAGTCATGAGTCTATAAACAAAATGAAAAAATTAAATAAAAGATTTTTTTTAAATATATACTTTTAAAATAGTCTGAACAAATATATTAACATACTTCTTGTCTTATTATAGTTTTTTTCAAAGTCGTTATATTTTCCTTTTTTAATTAAAAAAAACACATTTGCATTATATCTCACTGAATTATCCTTTTGGAACCAGCCATTCAAAGGTTATAGGTAACACCACGGAATTAGATTATCTAAGTCTGTGGTAACACCATCAAAAAGCTGAGATAGGTGTACATGCATGATATTATCAGAACCAAAGCTAAAATTAAAATTGGTGTAAACTTTCAGCAGCTAAGATACTTAAGGTGTACTAGAACCTAGGCAATATTTTGATTATGTTTTTGTAATGCCAGTGCAGATTTGAGTATGCATCAGATCATGCCATTCTTTATGCTTAACTCATCACCATTAAATTCGTAATTATTTCATGAGAACATAACTTTAGAACAATTGTAATTGCATAATCCTGAAATTGTATTATACCTGTAGCTGAATAGTGAGTTCCGGTCTGAAGTAAAGTCCAACGCCAGAAAATGCAGTAAACACTGTATCTGCAATTAGCCAGGAGGGCAGACTCCAAACTCCGAGCACAAAGAAGGCCACCACAAACGCTGCCCCTCTCACATAGTCAAACTTGTCTGCCATCACTGAAATATCAGCATGTATGTTGAATGAATTAAAGTTGATTCGCCCCAATACGGTCACACCCAAAACCATTTTGCCCCAATTTTCGTTCACGTCACCCAGTTGACAGTTCATTTCGCCCAAAGTTTGACAAACATAGTGCCCCAACATTTCACTTTTGCCCCAAAAGCTCTATCGCCCCAAACCCAATCAAACAAGATATTAAAACTAGTTGAAACTCTTTTCATTTTTAGAACTGTTTCTATTTCTGATTTAATGGATATTTTTTGCTTTTGTTACAAATGCCTATGTCTATATGGTCAATTAATAACATTAGTTTGATAATTGCCTCCTTCTTTTAAATGTAGGATATGCTGATTTGCCTAAGATATGCTGCAACTCATAAGATGTACAATTTATCAGACGAGTTCCATATTAAAAGTTTTCAATTTAGAGTGCTGCTTCAAATAGTGATCAAATAGTAAAATATGTATATCACTATACAACAGGTAGTCACAACGGGCAGTACCAAAAAAAAAATGTATGTATTATATTTTCTAAAACATCTGCATTTAAAGAATTATAACAATAGGAACAAGTCAGGTTTTCTTATGACACAGATGTTCTTGTTCGTTGTATCGGAATACCCAGCGTGTGTATGTTCTTAATTTGTTTATTCCATAAGTGTCTGTCAACTTATCAGTATGGTAACCGATGTGCGACACAAAAAACTAACATGTTGTGGTAACATAACCTTAAACAAACATTTTTAAATTATACATTGTATGTCAATTAATAAATAACGTTTAAAGTGTAAAGTGAAAATGTTAAATAAAACATGCAAAAAACTGTATTCAAATCACCATATTGAATATATCGGTAACATCTAACAAAAATATAAAACATTACACTCGACTCGTTGATGGAGAGGATAAAATGCACAGATCACATAAAAGATAATATAACAAGCCACTGATTTGGGGCGATATGGCGTAAAGGGTTTTAGGGGGGAAATGTTTGGGCGATATGAATCCAAATTGGGGCGTTACGATTTGGGACGAATCGTCCGACAACCATGTTGAATGATTTCAATCTTTAACTTAAAATATGATACTGATTGATCCGATAAAACTAGATACATGTAGTGCACTTTTAAAACATGATCTGCTTTCTTTGCGATTATTTATGAAAAATGGATGCATATATAACATTGAAACATGGGACCTACATGTGATGTAGTTTTGAGTAGACATATGAATGCTTGAAAAAAAATCATTAAGTGCCGTTCATTCTTTGATTTCAATACACTTGTACGTGTGGAAAGTCAGGGATTGACATTCAAATTACTACAAAAAATCCATATAAATATAACTTTGTGAACAACCATCAAGCTTTTTTTCTTCAATGTATTCAATCAACCTGAGAAATACCACCACAGGACATTCGATTCCGATATCCACCCTTTTCCTCGAGACAATCTGACTTTGCTTCCAGTTACGAATTATAGTCAATGTGAAAATAGAGCTTTGACATACTACAGTAAACAAATTTAAAATAAACGTACAGGTGACTAGGAAAATATTGAATTAAAATTCAGCCAATCAAAATTGAGTTTATAAAAAGTGCTTGTTAGATACAAAATGGTTGCGGATGTAAACAAGTCATCCATAGACAAGTTTACCTTGTGTTTCTCAGTTTCACTGATGAAAAACAGTTGATATGGAAAAGAAACATGGGATCGACTCCAAGTAAGCACAAGAATTCAACTGTAAGAACGAAATCGGAGCCACAGTTGCGGTTTGCCGTGAATGGTCACGTTCCCGTTAGGAGGGCGTTCAGTGCGTTGTCGGCTCAGGGGACTGCCCTACCCTCGGATTCCTTCAAACTCACTAAGAATTCGGAGGACACACAGCTCGAAATTCCAGAAGAAGAATACAAAGACGGCCAACTCGGAATTTCAGTATGCATAAATGACCGGTGAAAAGCACGTCTTTCGTTTACATTATGTATATTTTTGTGCACAAATGTACTTCATTGTGCTATTTATTTGATTTAGTTGACAGAATGACGCCCTTTTTGGCTCCAAGTGTTTAAAAGAACTTTGTTTGTTTTTATTTTACTTTATTCCCCATTTCAGTAATAAAGTTGTTACTCAAATGGGTAACTGTTACCCAAATGCAGGATTATTACCCATATGCGCCGTTGTGCCCAACCTGTTTGTATCTATCTATACATTGCCAGGTAAAACTGACTATAATCGTAGATGGGTCATAGCTATAATATAAAGCATCCTGTTACGACTTGTTACCGAAACGACCTGACTCCAACCCTAAATGCATGTATGCTTTTCGTCATGATCTCTAATCCACCAATGTTACATGTACAGTAGAGGTTTAACATGGAATGATAAACTGTATAGTATAAATTTATATTTCTTTCCTTTAATGTAAAATACATATCAATAATTTGAAAACAAATGGAAAAGGATCCGTAAACAAGCTACGAAAACTTATATAAATCTGATACTTTTGTCAAGGGCCGTTGGCACAATTATATCCGATAAAAAATTAACATAGTCGACCAGCGGCCTCTAACTATGTTTAATAGGAGTTCATGATCTGATGATTTAAAAATAATAATTGATTCACAGTCAAATTCCTTGGCTCAACGCCAAGTTTCTATTTACATATGTATATTCTTATCGTTTACACTTTGTATATACATTGTCTGCAAACAATACTATAATATAACGCTGACTATGATCGTAGACGGGTCATACTTAAAAGCATCTTCAACTGGCTCATAACAAGTTGGCTAATTGTATGGAAACAAACTTACTGGCTGACCTTTGACCTTTGTTTTGAAAATTTAAAAAATGACACGTCATTAGAATCAATTTCTTCAGGACCTTAGAACAACTCTCAGACCATTTTAGGAATACAGGGTTGATGTCTTGTGAAACTGAACTGGCAAGTCTAAGTGGATATTTATGATGCAAGTATAAAAAGTTCCTTATCAGATTTAAAATATGACTTCAAAATGTCACTCAACCCTGTTTTTTAAAAGAAGTTAAAAAAAAAGTTAATTGATGTTAGTTGAAGTTTGACCAGAAAAGTTCACATAATCTAGACTAAAATTTCAAATTGACGAAATGAAATTTAAAATGTCAGATTGATGGTACCAGTTGCACCTTTTTTTTCAGAATCCAAAACGTATTGAGAGGAAACTTCGCCGCCTTGGTAATAATGAGTTGTTTTGTGACGAGGCCTTCCCTGCTGATCACAATGCCCTGTTTTACAGTGACAGGTCAGAATCAAACATCTTGTGGAAGAGACCTAAGGTACACAATCTGGTCATTTTAAAATCAAACATCTTACTTCATCTATATCTTGCTCATCTTCCACTGTCCCTATATTAAAGGATTGTTTTTAACAAGGAAATAAAGCTGCTGTTCACTAATTTTAGAATAGATTCACAATTTTATTTTACATTGATTTGTGCATATGTGAATGATTCACAATTTTTTGTAGATACATCATACTGGTAGCTTGCATATAGGACTGAGGGCTATAACAATTTATGGGCTGCATTTGGTCAGCCTCTAGAAAAAAATATATCAAAGTATGATGACAATTATATTTTGTTTAGTTACTCACCATTAGAGCCCTAAATGATTATGTACATCTATTATATATTCTTGCTGATCTATCTTTCCCTAGCTCTCTCTCCTCCATGCGATCAGTCGACACTCGTAGTAACTCTCTCCTACTCAAGCTCAAAATCATACTTTCTTCCCGCCACCCTTTCGGCATCTCTCTTTATCTTTCTTTTGGAACACCTCATGGCATTACAAAAGCTTTAAGCAGTTAGCTATATATACCTATTTAGGGTTGAATGACCATGACATATGGTTTGAAGTACAATGCATATCTCACCTATTATAGTAATAATACTTATACCTCCCTGTAACAAATTTAGAGGGATGTATTGTGGGGGGAGATACACTGGAATTCTGTTGTCTAACTGACATGTCTTCATGTGTCCATCTATCTGCAGACAGAATCTTGTCCAGACAACTGGGTCTGGGGTTTTTTTTGTATGAATAAATCCCTTTACTAAATTATTATCAAAATGTTGTCCTNACAGCTTTACCGAATTGTTGTCCAGACGAATCCTCCAAGAGTTTATCGAATTGTTGTCCAGACGAATCCTCCAACAGTTTTACCGAATTGTTGTCCAGATGTCCAGACGAATCCTCCAACAGCTTTACCGAATTGTTGTCCAGACGAATCCTCCAAGAGTTTATCGAATTGTTGTCCAGACGAATCCTCCAACAGTTTTACCGAATTGTTGTCCAGATGTCCAGACGAATCCTCCAACAGCTTTACCGAATTGTTGTCCAGACGAATCCTCCAAGAGTTTATCGAATTGTTGTCCAGACGAATCCTCCAACAGTTTTACCGAATTGTTGTCCAGATGTCCAGACGAATCCTCCAACAGCTTTACCGAATTGTTGTCCAGACGAATCCTCCAAGAGTTTATCGAATTGTTGTCCAGACGAATCCTCCAACAGTTTTACCGAATTGTTGTCTAGACGAATCCTCCAACAGTTTTACCGAATTTTTGTCTAGACGAATCCTCCAACAGTTTTACCAAATTGTTGTCTAGACGAATCCTCCAACAGTTTTACCAAATTGTTGTCTAGACGAATCCTCCACCAGCTTTACCGAATTGTTGTCCAGACGAATCCTCCAACAGTTTTATCAAATTGTTGTCCAGACGAATCCTCCAACAGTTTTACCAAATTGTTGTCTAGACGAATCCTCCAACAGCTTTACCGAATTGTTGTCCAGACGAAACCTCCAACAGTTTTACCGAATTGTTGTCCAGACGAATCCTCCAACAGTTTTACGGAATTGTTGTCTAGACGAATCCTCCAACAGTTTTACCGAATTGTTGTCCAGACGAATCCTCCAACAGTTTTACGGAATTGTTGTCCAGACGAATCCTCCAACAGATTTACCGAATTGTTGTCCAGACGAATCCTCCAACAGTTTTACCGAATTGTTGTCCAGACGAATCCTCCAACAGTTTTACCGAATTGTTGTCCAGACGAATCCTCCAACAGTTTTACCGAATTGTTGTCCAGACGAATCCTCCAACAGTTTTACCGAATTGTTGTCCAGACGAATCCTCCAACAGTTTTACCGAATTGTTGTCCAGACGAATCCTCCAACAGTTTTACCGAATTGTTGTCCAGACGAATCCTCCAACAGTTTTACCGAATTGTTGTCCAGACGAATCCTCCAACAGTTTTACCGAATTGTTGTCCAGACGAATCCTCCAACAGTTTTACCGAATTGTTGTCCAGACGAATCCTCCAACAGTTTTACCGAATTGTTGTCCAGACGAATCCTCCAACAGCTTTACCGAATTGTTGTCCAGACGAATCCTCCAACAGTTTTACCGAATTGTTGTCCAGACGAATCCTCCAACAGTTTTACCGAATTGTTGTCCAGACGAATCCTCCAACAGTTTTACCGAATTGTTGTCCAGACGAATCCTCCAACAGTTTTACCGAATTGTTGTCCAGACGAATCCTCCAACAGTTTTACCGAATTGTTGTCCAGACGAATCCTCCAACAGTTTTACCGAATTGTTGTCCAGACGAATCCTCCAACAGTTTTACCGAATTGTTGTCCAGACGAATCCTCCAACAGTTTTACCGAATTGTTGTCCAGACGAATCCTCCAACAGTTTTACCGAATTGTTGTCCAGACGAATCCTCCAACAGTTTTACCGAATTGTTGTCCAGACGAATCCTCCAACAGTTTTACCGAATTGTTGTCCAGACGAATCCTCCAACAGTTTTACCGAATTGTTGTCCAGACGAATCCTCCAACAGTTTTACCGAATTGTTGTCCAGACGAATCCTCCAACAGTTTTACCGAATTGTTGTCCAGACGAATCCTCCAACAGTTTTACCGAATTGTTGTCCAGACGAATCCTCCAACAGTTTTACCGAATTGTTGTCCAGACGAATCCTCCAACAGTTTTACCGAATTGTTGTCCAGACGAATCCTCCAACAGTTTTACGGAATTGTTGTCCAGACGAATCCTCCTACAGTTTTACCGAATTGTTGTCCAGACGAATCCTCCAACAGTTTTACGGAATTGTTGTCCAGACGAATCCTCCTACAGTTTTACCGAATTGTTGTCCAGACGAAACCTCCAACAGTTTTACCGAATTGTTGTCCAGACGAAACCTCCAACAGCTTTACCGAATTGTTGTCCAGACGAATCCTCCTACAGTTTTACCGAATTGTTGTCCAGACGAAACCTCCAACAGTTTTACCGAATTGTTGTCCAGACGAAACCTCCAACAGCTTTACCGAATTGTTGTCCAGACGAATCCTCCTACAGTTTTACCGAATTGTTGTCCAGACGAAACCTCCAACAGTTTTACCGAATTGTTGTCCAGACGAAACCTCCAACAGCTTTACCGAATTGTTGTCCAGACGAATCCTCCTACAGTTTTACCGAATTGTTGTCCAGACGAAACCTCCAACAGTTTTACCGAATTGTTGTCCAGACGAAACCTCCAACAGCTTTACCGAATTGTTGTCCAGACGAATCCTCCAACAGTTTTACCGAATTGTTGGGAAACTTAACACAATTGTATTTCACCACAACATGAAGTTGTACACCTAGGCTTTTTTTTACTTATTAAGTCTTCTTAATTCTGATTTACATTTATATGTATATGATTTCCACTCAGTAAGCCTTTTCACTGATTTTTATGAATTTTTATACACATATCATAAGTTCAATAAATTAACTTTGCAATTGACTTTTTTTCTGGGAATCTTTGATGGAGGAGCAAAGATTGATATTAGACTTTGGTAAGCTAAACTGTTGTTATGGTAACCTGTCATTTGTCAGTTTTATTCATTTTTCAGGACCTTGTAGAAGAGTGGCAGAAACCTTTCTTGGTACAAGATGGCGTTACACGTGATGATATCAAGCAAGGCATTCTGGGAGACTGCTGGTTTCTATCAGCGTGTGCTGCTGTTTCACAAAGAGAAAACTTCATGAAAAAGGTAAGATGACCTGATCAGTGAACTGACACAATGACTTGTTTACCATATGTACATAGGAATGTGTTCATCAGTAATGTCTGTAGAAATTAAAGTTCATTAAGCTAAGTAAATTTTGGGAAAGACAGCAAATATTCCTATATAAACGTTCATGAAAAAAAGGATTTTCTCTTATTAGAAACTTTAAAAGAATGCTTTTAATTTATTACACTGTTCTCGGTACGAGGGGATGGGTTTGTTTCTTATTAATTAACTGTTTGTTCTTTTATATTTTCAATATATTGTTTTATTATGACCTTGCTGGATTGTTCATTTATGATATTGCTAGATTGTTCCCGGAGACCAGCCTCTGTTTGGGGAGGGCTACAAAGGAATTGTCCACTTCCGGTTCTGGCGCTTTGGTCAGTATGTTGATGTGTATGTGGATGACCGGTTGCCGACTATTGACGGGAAGTTGATATACGCTAGATCCACAGATCCAACAGAGTTCTGGGTGGCTCTAATAGAGAAAGCTTATGCCAAGTGAGGAAAACTGATATTGTATATAACATATCATCTATCACATTTCCTGATATATCATTTAAGGTTATTGTTTTAGATTTATAGAGTTAATAACTTTAAGCCAAAGAGCATAGCTTGAATATTTTTAGTACATTAATTCTTCTAATATTCAGTTTTGTTTCAAACGTTTTGATAAATGATTTTGAATTTTGAGTTTTCCTTAGAATCAATTTAACACCTTGTCTTTTATAAAAATATGGGTAAATCCAATAATTGGTATATGAATCTGGATATTGAAGCATATATATACAGTTTATTGAGAATAAACAGATATATTGTGTGTACAATAAAATGAGAAGTTAAATTGAAGTTGTAGTTTGGATATACTATATACATTCCATGTGTTACCAGACTGCATGGTTCCTATGAGGCTATAGAGGGAGGCCAGGCAATGAACGCCCTGGTTGACCTGACTGGGGGGCTTGCTGAGCGCCATGAGGTCATTAATAAAGACCCCGTCCTGTATAGACTTGTGGATCGGGCTATCCTGTCTGGGGCCTTCGTTGCTTGCTCAAGGAAGGTAAGTTTTTCCTTTGAGGCCTCACACAACTAAATAAATTACTGTGTTAGACTATCAACATGTGTGTCCTCTTCTAAGTACATTTTAAGTTTTACAGAAGCATCCTGAATATCAAACTAATGTCCTAGATATCTAATGATGTCCCCTTTCTTGATTTATTGGGTGTAATGTGTCAAATACTGTACATATATTGAAATCTAAGTAAGGTCAGATTTGAGATAAGCTATTTTCAGCAAAGTTGTGAGCATGTCTTAATCAGGCTGGTAAAACCTTAATTTGTGAAACGAGGCTTATTAAAACATTAATCAAACATTATTATTTGTATTTAATTCATTCAGTTTTAAGAATATTGAAAACATCATGTAGCACAAGTCGTAGTTAATTAAACTGCCTTTCTATTGGTTAATAATGCTTGGAGGCAAAAGACGGATTTAGTAACAGGAAACATGTTCATGTTAAAACATTTGAGTGTTGTTTATCTTATGTTTTGTATTGTAGGGAGATTGGAGGTTAAGTACCATTGCTGATCCTAATGGTCTGGTGTCTGGGCACGCCTACACCATCACAGACATCAGAAAGGTAGGTCATGACCATATTCCATGTCTTACTAGTCTAACACCTACACCATCACAGACATCAGAAAGGTAGGACCACAAACCATGTCTGACTAGTCTAACACCTACATCATCACAGATATCAGCAAGGTAGGACCATACACCATGTCTTACTAGTCTAACACCTACACCATCACAGACATCAGAAAGGTAGGACCACATACCATGTCTTACTTGTCTAAAACCTACACCATCACATACATCAGGAAGGAAGGACCACATACCATTACTTCTACCACTGCCAAACATGTACCTAAACATTGAAAACTTTTCTTGGGACTTAAGTCTAGCTTTGATCAATCATTCTGAGAAGGGAAAAAAAATGACTTGGGGGGACTTTTAGGGGAAAAAATGAAATGAAAATAAAAATCAACATCAATCTGAATTCTGAGTGTGACAATGCAACAGGGTAATTAAGACCAGGATACAAACTTTTGGCCTCCGATCATTTTACTCCAACCGACTGAGCTACCTGGTCATCGGAATTATCCTGGCCAGGTCGAGCTACAGTTTATATCCAAAATGAATTGTTATGTAGGTTATAACTGTACAAAAATCCTTAGGCATTTTCTATCACGGACATCAGAAATATAGCACCACATCAGACGCTTACTAGGTTCTCATAGAAAAATGACATTTTTTAAGTAACACTAGAGACCTTATGTAAGGAGATATAATGTTGGAGACTATCTTTTTTAATGACAAGGCAACACTAGCAGCTGCTGTACTGAAGTATTTTCGATGTTTTTTTTATTTCAAGATAAAGCATGAGAGAGGTGAGGAGAAGTTGGTACGGATCAGAAACCCGTGGGCGGACAACAATGAGTGGAAGGGATCCTGGAGTGACAAGTAAGTCCAACTCTGATTAATGTGACCTCATACTTAGGCTTATTATACATTAGTTTCAGTTCTTTGTTTTCTGGTGCTTTGCTTTCTGAGGAGAGGTTGTTTATCTGATATAAGCGTAATATTGTTTCTCATGTTGTACGATAGTAGTCCAGTTCTTTGTAGTAATTAATGATTTTTAGCTCACCTGGTCCGAAGGACCATGGTGAGCTTATGCCATACCGCGTCGTCGGTCGTCTGTCGTCCGTCCGTCCGTCCATCCGTCAACTTTTCCTTTAAAACTCTACTAGTCCTGAACGGTCAAGTAGATTTTGACTAAATTTGGTCTGGAGCATCCTTGGGCCAAGGGGACTCCATTTTGTATAAATGGTGGGTGTGGCCCCCCTGGGGGCAGAGGGGCGGGGCCGAATAGGGGAAATAGGTAAAACCTTCAAAATCCTTCTCCTACTATATGGATTAAGGGATTTCATCCGAATTAAGTCTGGAGTATCCTTGGGCCAAGGGGACTCAATTTTGTATAAATGGTGGGTGTGGCCCCCCTTGGGGCAGATGGGCGGGGCCGAATAGGGGAAATAAGTAAAACCTTCAAAATCCTTCTCCTACCGTAGGGATTAAGGGATTTCATCCTAATTTAGTCTGGATCATCCTTGGGCCAAGGGTACTCAATTTTGTATAAATGGTGGGTGTGGCATCCCTTGGGGCAGAGGGCTGGGGCCGAATAGGGGAAATAGAGGTAAAACCTTCAAAATCCTTCTCCTACCCTAGGGATTAAGGAATTTTATCCTTATTAAGTCTGGAGCATCCTTGGGCCAAGGGGACTCAGTTTTGTATAAACCGTGGGTTTGGCCCCCTTTGGAACTGAGGGATGGGGCCCAATAGAGGAAACATAGCAAATTATTCTTTAAAATCCTTCTTCTTCTGTAGGAATGAAAAGATTTGGTCCGTATTTGGTGTGAAGCATCCTTGGGTAAAGGAGAACCAATTTTGTATAAACAGTGGGTGTGGCCAACACCCCCC